CTTTACTTCTAGCACTGTTGTAAGGATTACATAGAGATCATTTAAAATGCTTACTATTARGCCTGGCAATTAGTTAAGGCTCAATGAATGTTAGCTATTATATTAGATTCCAGCTCATTCCAAAGTAGATTTAAGGCAATTTCACATGTAATGTAAATTCAATAAAGATATATGTGAATGACCCAAAGGATCATTACTATGCAATTTAGACTTACCTTTGGCAAATTTCTTTTCAAGGGACTGGCCTAACAGAGTAAATGATAATAACTTAGTATTTTCAATTGCTATTACCCAATAATTCATAAACTTACTAAAGACGATRTTTCTTTTTTTTTCCCCTTTTCTTTCTGTTTTAATCATTTACCCCATAGGAAACACCTGATTCTAGACAACTGTAGAAGACTGATTAAATTCATTCAAATCACTTTTGAGCAATTAAAAAACAAAACAAAAACAGGTCCCCCGTAACCAAAATTTAAGTGTGACCTTGAGAAACAGAATTGTGATATTATGATATATCTAAGATACATTTAAATTTTGCAGCTTAAATGAAAAAAAAATCCATCTTCATACAAAGTGACCCATCAAACCATACTGTTTAACTTTCAGTAAATAAACTACTTCTAATTACTAAAATAAAAGTGCTTTAATTTTTTACATTATGTGTACATGTGTGTATATCCATCCCATAAGTCTCTGAGAMTGCCAACTTATTATATTTCAAAAATTACAAAATCACACTAACTTCTACATCACTTTTATACTTTACAGAAAAAAATCATTTTCTGGATTAAAATTCTTAATTAAATGACTTATCATAATAACTTTAATAATACAAAAACATATAAGAGGCAGTACCTCAGTTTTATCTTCCATATTCTGGTTATGCTACATAAATATGAAATTGTTATCCTTATTCAAATAACATTAGGTCTGACTTTAAAAAGTAAGTTTAGGACTTAGCAAAGCCTTACATTTAATAAGGAAAACTAGCAGCACTATCAAATTTTAAAGCCAAGTATCAGCAGTCACTTTCTGACAATATCTTGTGGGAGACTGTATTGGTAAATCCATGAAAGCAATATCAGACTACAGCAACTCAGAGCTCTTGGGTATATTTTTGATTCCATTARTGTGGTGCTGCAAAAGATTACAAAATTTGTTTCTAAGACCAAAACATAACACAATTTATCCATGAAATTTTATTTCCATGTTTTAAAATGATAATCGTKTTACTCTTGTAAGTCTCTAGGTTTAAAGCAAGTATTACTTTGAGACCCACTGAAGTATTATGAAAATTCTCAAGAAGCTCAAAATATAAGATTATCTGAGACAAGAATTACTCAATTTTCCAAAGTCACCCTGTCTGAAGCAAGTGATATTAAAGGTGAAATTCACAGGAAAATAGCACTGTTAAAAACAAACAAAAACAAAGAAAATGGAAAAAGCAGAGACAGATCAATTTAAACCATGGCTCTGGCATCTTCTGCTGAAAATTCCAGTAATTTAATTTTTCTGTGTTTAGTTAGTAAATTTACTTATATCTTTGGTGTCCTTAGCTAAAAAGTGTCAATAGTACCTAAATAATTGTTTTGAGGACAAAAATGAGATAACATTAGGGAAGAAGAAAGTCCATTGAAAAGTCTGTTCTACACCTATAATTTATAAACAATGTTATCTGTAAAACAAACAAACAAACAACAATAAAAACTAGAACAGGAATAAAGTCTCCAAAATACTGTCATTAAACAGAAATTTTTCTGTAAATGAAAATGACTCCTTTGTCATTTCCACATAGAAAACTACCTATCTGGAGTTTCGAGATCTCCAAGAAAAAACAAACACCTTTCTACAATTTATATTCCAAATTTCAGGCAATAAATCCTTTCCATCTAACCTAAATTTCCTATGTTTTAGTTCATTTGAAAATTCTTATCTTTCAATTCTCCTTAGGTGGGAAACATATCTGTTTTAGTCTTTTCTGTATTTCTGTCCCTAGCAGAGTTCTGGAGACACTTTGCATGAATATATTCATTCATTCATTCATTCATTCAGCAAATATTTATTCAACAGTTACTTTGTGCCAGGTACTGTAAGTAGTAGAGCAAGACCCATAAATGAGAAGGCTTTGCTCAGGTAACTTACAGTTTAGTGAATAAGGTAAATATTTGTCAAATAGGTACAGAAGTAAATAAGTTTCTAATGTGGATGGCAGAAAGGTGCAGAGATGGTGAAGATCACAGTTTTGGGATGAAGACAGTCAAAGGTCAGGAATAGCTCCCCTGGGGTACAAGGTTTAAACTGAGACTTGAAAATTGACTGAAAGTTGGCCAGATTTTGTAAAGTAAGGGAATACAGACCAGGCAGGGAGATGAAACATATTAAAAAGCCCCCAAGTCAGGAAGGTAAATGAGAATGGTTGGGGATAAGAATGGAGTGCTACATAAAGGACAGAAGATAMATTGCCAGTACTAATGAAAGTAAAAGGATTCATAGCATTAAATATTTAAGCCATGTTGTATTTTTCTCAAATAAAATAAATAATCTAAGGGAACTGAGTTTTTATTGCACAATATTAAAGTTCTATATTAGGTTATGACTTTGTCTCACCAATCACTGGACACATGACCTTGGACAAGACATTTGACCAACTTGAGCCTCTTCTATTCTCTGTAAATCGGTATCCAATTATTCTACCTACTGAGATTACAATAATAAACAACATATAGCCCCGGTTCTTACAGACTTTACATCCCTGAGAGAGAGGTGTATATGAAAGACAACCTAAGTCCTATAGGAGATGATATCCAAAAAAAAAAAAAGACACAAAAGTCTCCTGAAAGGTATCCACAAATGTGGACACTGGTGGGCTGTAAACCACAATAAAAACACAAGTTACACATCTTTCTGTGAACTCTAGCATGTGACTGAGGATGATATATACAACAGAAACATTACTCTGTCATCCCCAAACAAGCGAAATAKCAAAACTATAATGAACCTCAGAGATAAAGAGAACTCAGTGGTAGCACTGAATTAAAGATTAAAATTAATGTACTCAGAACAAGTATTTTATATCAATTTTTCTTATTTCCAAATTTTCCTCTTAGTTCAAAAACTTGTTCCATCATCACATAACTACATGCCAAACTCATCTTATGCCTTTCCCAACAAAAGGCAATGTCCACATTGCCATCTAGAAAATACAATGATATTCTTGCTTTACCACCACTTACTCATGTCCAGTTTACAGTCTACCTAAACTACCACACCCTTTTTTCATCTAGGACAAAACTAGTTATCCCCACATTATTTTCCATTTGTTTAGCTGGCTCTTCCTTACTATGTACTATGTTACTTACGATGCTACATTTTTCCTGATTTTATTTCATTCTGTAGTATCATACCTCTCCTTGTATTTTAAGTCATATTAAAATCAAACCATATTCACAGCAGAATACCTGATCCTAGAAAATGTTTTTTTTTTCATTTTTAAGACAAATTGTTGATGATCTTAATAACTGAAGAGTACATTCAAAATACAACTTATAAAACAATACACCATAATTGATTTTCTGGTAACTATAATTTTATGCCTTTGTGTATATAAACTTATCACGAATAAGTCTTGAGGTCAATGAATACATGCCTACAATTCTATTTAAAAACTATCTAATAACACATTCAAGAGCTATAAAAATTCTAGAGAATAAGTCTAGAAAAAGTGCACTGCTTTGCTCAATAAAAAATATAAACATCATTGCTGTCTCTCTCACACATTCTGAAGTCAAGAAAATGAGGGAAAAATAGAATTCTGAAACAAAAAAATTTACCTCAATGTAATGCAACATGTCTTTTCTAATAATGGCACTATAAACTCTTCTTGATGTTGCATTGTTTGAAAACAAAATGTGTAAAATAACTTCTGTTAAGGAATTCCAACCCAACTGCTCTCGGTTTTACAAAATGAGTAAGGTAGGAAGAAAAAGGAGTATTATTTTAACTGCTAAACATTACCCACCCTTAAAAATGGTCTGTGGAAGTAGGCTCTCTAAGAAAAAAAATCTCAAATTCACTGATCCTTTCTTTTTATTTTTCTAAAAGGTTAGAATCCTTTAATGAGGAGGGAGTTTCACCTCACTTTTTTTAAAAAAAAACTCTTCACCTTACAAATGGCTTCTTAGAAATACATAAAATACTATTACTTTGCAACTTCCCCCACTCCTTCCAAAGAACACACTTTTTTTCTCAGACAGCAGTTCTGGTTCAGAACCTGCACTCTGACTAGATTCAGAAGATCTGTCTCTGTGTGTGTGACCTTGGACACGTCATTTATTCCCTCAGTTTCCTCATCAGCATCCCAAAGTGAAAGCGTGGTGAATACAGTTCAGGACTAAATATATCTTAGGTATTACACCTAAGAGGGTCAAGCTTTTCTGCTTAGGGACAGATTACCTCCTCAAAGGGGCCACATCTTAAAACTGGAACTAAATCCGTAGATTTGTCAACATTTGATTCTTCCTTCTTCAGCGCTCTTCTCCCCTCAAAGGGCATAACACTGATCACCCCAAGAGCAGACTCCCAAGCACCCTTTCCTTCCTCCAGTCTTCCCTAGCCTGCTTATAAAGCAAGGGGGGGAAACAGCAGCCTCACCTCTCTTCCCCCAAGCCACACCTTTAGGGGACCCCACCCCGGGCACATCCGCCCTCTCCACGCTCCCTGGGCCAGAGAGACCAACCTCGCCCTTCCCCTCCGCCCCCACCTAGAGGAGACTTCCTGGAGGCGTTCAGGCCCCAGCGGGGCAGGCGGCATTTACAAACCCGCTTTACGCCACTCGCGTAGGGTAACCTCACTTACGCCCATAGGGCCCCGCTCCCAGCCCCGTCCGCTCCGCCTTCCAGAGCCAAGCCTGAGTGTTTCAGCCACGGTCCCCGAGTGACCTGACCCTTTTTTACTCGGTRCGGAGCTACGGTGATTAGGACAGAACAGTCACACCTTACCGGCAAATGAGGCACTGACTTCACTTCCCACCTTTGGAGCCCTCTTCAACTCCCGGATCAATTCACTCCGGCGACGCCGGAAGGACCCGAGAGGAACCAGGCGTTGTCCGGAATCCTGCCCAGCCGGAGTCGCGCAGCGCTCTATGGGGACTCGTAGTCCCGTTCGCAGGCGTTACTAGCAATTCCTGCACTCGAAAGACTACATTTCCCGGCAAACCAAGCGCTGGAGCCCAAGGCGATGGGTGGGGACACTGCTAGCCAATAGTAAGAGAGTTCCCTGCCTTTGCGGGAGGAGGTGAGATGAAGAGAGAGGGTGCACAGAAAAGAGGGGAAGGGCGGGGCCTGCTCTCACCTGCGCCAATCGGGGCGCACTGTCAGCCCCGCAGGCGCCTCACCCATGGAGGGGCTGGGCTAGCGGAGCAGAGGAAGGAAGAGGGTGGGGGGCCCGACGCGGGGAACGTGGGGCAGCTGGGTTGAGTGAGCAACGCGGGCGGAGGGGAAGCCTCAAGGAACTCGCTGGTGTGCTGGGAGGGTGTGGTGTGGGGACGCGCCCCAACCGAAAGAGCAGCTTCCTACGAGCAGCAAAGCCCCGGGCACACCAAGCAACCAGACCCACGGACTGGGGAGGGATAGGCTGAACCTGGACTCCCTGCAGGGGCACCTAGAAGGGGCGGCCAACTCCAGGTGTGAGGCCACTGAGTGTGGGGAGAGGGGGCCCGCTGAGAAAGGGAAGAGGCAGAGCTGCTGCACAAGTGCAGGGAGCGGGAAGCTACACCGGCCATCGGCTGCCGCTTCCCGCCGCCTTCAGCATCGGCAGCAGCAGGAACAGCAGGGGGAGGAGCAACAGCTGCCAAATTCGCCAACTGGAAGAGGGGGAGGCGGAGCTTGAGTCCCAGTAGAAGCTGAAGCACAGCCTGGACTGTAGTTTCCCGGGAGAGACCAGAGCAGGAACAAGAGCTGAGTGGAGTGCAGTCTTCCGAGCATCAGCTCCCGCATCCCGCCAGGGGTTGAAGGTGTGTGGGAGGTAAGCGTGGGTGCTTCTTCCCGGCGTCCGCACACTGCCCRGGAGAAAGCACCTAATAGGAATTGTATCAAGGCACAGCTAAAACAGTCTGCGTTGGGTTAGAAAACCGGTACAGTCCCCTTCAGGTGAACGATGTACATTTTTGGACTTTGGGCTGCCGGGGGTGGGGTGTGCAAAAGGTATCTTGACCCTGAGTATAAAGGGCGTGGCTAGTGTTTTTGGTTTGAGTTGCACCATTAAAACTGTCTGGGAGATCTCAAGATTGAAGGAAATCCTGCTAATTGAGGACAAGGTGGATGGTATCTGGATAGGTGCGTAGCTGTTAAAAAGCAAGAATTGTGTCTTTGATATAAAATTACTTAAGAACTATTTCAAAATAACTTTGCATTCTTCTTCTTCGGTGTCTATTCTTCACATTGATTTTAAAGATTATTCTGCTTCCGACCTGTTATCCAGGGTGGTTGTATTGCAGGTCCATAGAATTGCAAGAGATCAGGATTAAAGAAGCAAATGTAAGCAGGAATAGGATAGGATGGATTCTGACTGAACCTATCATAAGTATAACTTTTGCCAGCAAAAACGTGAAAATATATTTTAATGGATAGATACTTAGCTTTCTTTCTAGTGGCTCTGGGATATTGAAACAAAGACCTGGACTCAGCCTACAGTGGGAACATATGGTGTACTTCATTGCTGCTCCTTATTCTCTCATTTCTGTCCGGTAACATTTGTACATTTTTAAAAACATGAGTATAAGGAAAGCTGTGTGAGGATCTTTCCTCTGTTTAGACAGTATATGTTAAATGATTACTCTTAGTATGTGTTATAATGGGCTCCAATTTTAAATAAAGATAGCGTCATAAAATAATACTCTTCGTATTAAACCATGTGTGTATTCCTTTGGATGTAATTATGGTACCTATCTTATGGTACCTATCAATGGAAATGTTAGGTCAACATGAAAGTCTCTCCAGCCTTTGTTTCACTATGTCAGGATTACAGCGTTTTCTTATTAGAAACTTGGTAAGAATCCATTTGTCTACTTTATTTTAGTTTTCTGTTTGTTACAGAGTTCCCTAGATTATGGGGCTTTTAATCATAGCATATTGCTGCATATTTTTGTTTTGAAATGCCTTCATTGTGACAATTGAATATTTCAGAGTCTGAATACTTTAATTTTGATTTTTTTTACTAGATTCAATAAGATAGTCATTACCTTCTGTATTAATGCATTCTTGATTAGGATTTTGGATTTTACTTTTGTATATACACATAATTCCTTTTTGAAAAGAAATGGCTCAAAGGTATTCTCATAGCTTAAAGTTTAGTTCCACCGAGAGCTACTGTGAATAAGTTTAAGTAATGTATCAGTGTACATTCCTCCTCTCCCATGTTCTTAAACACCAGAGGAATACACAGATAGACAAATCTTAGAAAAACTGCTACTTTTAGATTGTCTTCAAGCAGATCAGGTRAGTATTAAAAGCTGTAAAGAGGTTAAAAGAAAGAAAAAGCAACAGTAGCCACTAAACTTAGCAGCCAAGGCAAGGATCACATTGTATCTTTGCTACATCACTAGAGAATATATTAATCCAAGTAGCTGATGTGACCTTGTGAAAATGATTTGGGGAGAAAAACCACTAGGGCTTTGGTGAAGCTTGGGAAATTGTGTATGCTCTTATTTATGATGAAGTGTATTGTCCTGAATCAGAGTCTTAGATTCTCCGGCTTTAGAAATGGAATACTTGCTGTCACTAGGTTATATCCCTCCCCATGTAATAATAACAGTTAATTTTACAGTACTAGCAATAAGTCTTGTTGAATCAATTAATAAACAAGCAAATGGGTAGAAGATGATTTGTAACAAAACAATTGAAATTCAGATATACTTTGAATCTGAGCTTTGTTTGTAGGTCTTCTGCTCTAAGGTATCATAAGACTAGAATCTCATTAGGAATGAATGAGTTTGTGGTATGAAAGTGCCAAGTTTTCTTGTTTTCAAGATTTAGATTCTTTCAAGTGTGTCAATGAAAGAGACTGGGTTTCTGTATCATTAAGGAGTTAGAAGACCCTGTTTTTTTGTGGGAGAAAATCGTTGGCTGTTTGTTACCTGGATTCTTTTCACTCATTTAAATTGGTGTTCACATTCAATCTCAGATAATCTGAAGACTTTTCTTGATTGGTGTTGAGAAACCACATTAATTTTATGCATAATACTCCCTGTTTGAAAATCATATTATTTATTGGGCTCTTAAGTTTTACTACAGATGTAAGGCTGTCAGTGAATATGATGAGAAAGAAGCAACACAGTGCAGAATATTTCTCTTGAATGGAAATTGCTCTGGAGATGATTGTTCTCTAACCAAAAGACTTGGTAATTTCAAATTACATATTTTGGACTTTTCTATAAATTTAAAATTCTACTTTAAAGCCTATTGAGTAAAAAATAATCGATAGCATGGATTTTTAACAGAATGATTCACTGATGCATGTGACACAAAAGAGCAATTCTTAAAGGTTCAAGACCGAATGATTTTGGTGCAGTGAAAGACGGGGATAGATATGAAGAAAACTACCTTTAAAAAGTACCCTTAACCAGAGAGGAAAAAGTTTTTGCTATTTTTTTTTTGTTAAATACTTATAAGTGATAATATGATCTTTCCCTCTCTATCATTAATTTCTGTATCCATAGTGCAGATGTTACTTTTCTCCAGTTAAATACACTGAAGTCAAGACATTAGTTCATTAGAATTTGAGGACACATGTATTATTAAAGTATAAAAGATTATGTACATTGACAACTATCCTTTGGACAAAATTTTAAAAAGAAGCAAAAACTTAAATGTTGTTTTATCCTTTAATAAAAGTTACTTGAACTAGCCAATAAAGATGAATAAAAATCTGTTTATTTACTTATTTATGCAAATTCCTAAGGTTAAATCCTGCTGAGCAGATTTCTGTTGTTATATTCAAATAAGAGTTTTGCTTTGTTTTTCAGTCTTACCTCTAAGGTTTCTAGAATTTAGTTCTTAAAGTTTGGTATTTGTGTTTTAGGTGACATGATTATTAGTGCCTGAAGACCATGTACTTCTTTTCTGTCTCCCATTGATCCTTAGCCTTATATCATGCTCAGCATTAAGAATTTGCTTTGTAAGAATAATGCTTAATGAATTAGCATTATTGGCCAATACTTTTTAATGTGCACATTAAATACTTTGATACACAAGATTCAGTGTACCTCAAAGAATGATTATTGGATATTAACTCTTCTGAGAATGTCATTGTTTTAATTAGCTTTGCAGAAATGTTATTTAAGCCCAGTTTGATTTAGACTATATGGGCTGCAAAGATTTATCTACAACTTTGAGTGTCAGGGTTTCTAAATTCATCCCAGAGGTAAGGAATGTGGGTGAGGAGAAAGGGCCTTCCTATCAGAGACCCCTAAGTTCTTCACTTTATAGCTAGGGAAGCCCATGGCTCACCTCTGTTTAACCTTACATCCCTGGAGACATACCTTTGTTGATGTTTATCTTTAAAAAATTATTTTATTATGAAATCTGAATTCTTGTTTTTCTAACCACTGCCCCCCCCACCGATTAAAAAAAAAGAAGAAAAGAAGTCACGCGAATTTTGTTTAAAATGCATAGAGTTGGGCATTTATTGGTTTTGATTTCACATTCCAGAAACAAATTAATCTGATTAGTGTTAAAATTAAAAATTCAGTATGAATTTTCTTTTATTACTTAACACCTGGACAAYTCTAATTAGTTCTAAGTAGTTGTTAGTAATAAAATTAATTATAGCAGGAATTTAACTGCCTTTTGCTTTGCTTTTTAATATTTTTACTAACATACAGATAGATGTGACTTATCTTAGATCTAATGATTACTCTTCTTTGTCTTCCTGTTCCTTTGGCATTATTCTTAATGGTTAGCACTATGCTTTGTGTCTTAGCTGAGTTCATAATTATCTTCCTGGTGTGTGTGTGTGTGTGTGTGTGTGTGTATAAATATATAAATATACATATATATATATATATATATATCTTATAAAAGTTTCCCTGACTTTATATGTTGAGAGCCTTATACAAAAT